GCTGAGTGACGTGTGGTCTGCTGGTAGCTGCTGTCACGTAGGTGGAGCTACAGGCTTCACTGCGACATATGGAAGGGGGAGGGGCAGAGACAGACCAGCAGAGTGCAGGCGGAGCAGCATCACTTGGATCCTCCGAGTCCTGCTGTGAGACAGCGACAGCTGGCCAACACACAGCCAGCATCTACAGTCACACATGTCAGAGCGACTGGGCTCCAACAGGAAGAGCAATAAATAACCGGACGCAGCATTTATATCAGAGTAGAAACATCACTGTATATAAATGACGGTGTCAAACATATGGCCTGGGGCCCAGAAGCGGTCGCCTGTAATTCTAATTTGTACCTGCTGTGAAAAATATAACAAGTGTAAAAAAAAAAAAAAGGTTTAATTCAAATGTATCTGTGCAGAATTTTATTTGATCTTTTGCAGCAAGCACAAGACTGTGCCATGATTTTTTATTTTTTTATTATAAAATAACATTATTAATATATCCATATTCATCCATGTAAACAGGGATTGTAACAGTATAACAGGCGTGCACCATCTCCAGTCATCTATTATTAATAAAGTGATTTCATCCATTAAACATATAGAAACATATTCTGTCATTGGCACGATAGTTATACCTAAACATGTAAACAGACTGCAACACTTCGCTCTGTTCCTCCATCCTTTCACTCTTCACATGTTCTTATTAAGTGTAATCAAGCTCGATCACCTCATAAGAGAAATTTCAAGACAAACAGTCACAAAGTGATTAAAATTGTGTAAATGAAAAAAGGACGCCTGCACAGGTGGGACGTCAGCGTCTTTATTCAATCCTCTGTGTTATGTTCGGTACCCAGAAGCATCACCATCTGAAACACTCGGGCGGAGGCTCGCGATGCACAAACTGCTGATAGAGGAACTTTTGACCTTAACAGGAAGTCCTCGTGTGTGACAGGAAGCTGATACGTGACTCACAGTCCACAGCTTTCACCACAGTGCTGGACGTGGAGGAGTGATGGTTCATGTCAGAGCTGCTCATCACACTCACACATACTAAATGTTGTTTAACCACTGAAGCTCCAGGCTTATGTGTTTTTATTTCTCTCAGGTTTTTGCTAATGAGTATAAAAGCTCAGCATCATCAATGAAGAAATGATGTGCTTGTATTTAGACTTTAGTTTTATTTTACATCATAACACAGTAAAGCTGTGATTATTAAGCAAAGAAAAAACACTTTATTCCTTTTTGTTACGAGGGTAAAAAATACGGTTGATGCTGCATTTGAGTTAATTGTTAACTGAGAAGCATGAGCGCACGTTTATCGTAGAGCTCGTAATCGTTACAGAGGTAGAAATGCAGGAGAGGACAGCAGTGGGAACAACCTCCACCTGAGAGGAGACGGCACCATCATATCATTGCCTACACATCTGATCTGAACACGCTCCGTCTTAGTGACTCAGTGTTTTGTGTCTGTTTGATGTCAGTGGGGATAAAAACCAGAGGCTCTGATGTTCATGTGGACGCCTTTATTTCAGGTTCTGAGTGAACAGGAAGTTTCTGGACCAACAGCGTTAACAAAGGACGGCGTTGTAGCCGCTGTAGTCAGTTTACTCACAGAAAAACCTCTAAATTCACCTGACTGCTGTAGTATCTGATTGTTGCTGTCAAAGTAAACACACTCCGTCTACAGAGAGGCAGAAAGCTTCAGCTGCTGTGAGGTGTGTGCCTGTGTCCACGCCTGTGGTTCCTCCCAGAGGTCAGTCAGTCGTATCCTGTACTCGCATTGGTCGCTTGAAGACTTCTTGACGCTGCAAATCACATCCCGTGTGCGTGATGATGCACTAAGAGCAGTTTGTCAGGCAGGTGTGTCTGTGTGTGGATCATTGTGTGTTTGTAGAGCGTCTCCTCTGTGACGTCCTGATGAAGGTCAGCTGTGCTTTACAGGACGTCAGCATCCCCGTCTTCACGTTCACAGCCTGAAGAAGTGAGAGGAAAACAGAGAGGTCACACACAAAGATGTCAGTGAGTCCACTCTGCTGTGTGAGCAGCTCTTCACTCCTGTTTCCACTGAGTCCTCTGACTTCAGTGATGACAGAGAGGACCAGACTGTGTCCTCTGGATCACCGTGGGACACCTGTAGCTGCGTCACTCTGCTCTGGATCAGCTGACAGCTTTGTAAACGTGTTTTCATGGGTTGGTTTGTTCCAAGTGAACTACAAACCATGTGACCAACTTCAGCGCCACAAAGAGGATTTACATGAATGTCACGCTTAGTTTCCAGCTGGTACTGACTGTGCACATCTATGCTGTTGGCTACCTCAGACTTACAGCATAGATGTGGTAGCTGATCACACTTACACACCATCAAGGAAGTTTTTTTATATCTGGACTTTGTTTAGAAGCAGATCTGGACCACGCCTCTTTCAGCAGCGCTCTTATCGTAGGTCAAACCCTGAATCTGACGCTTCGTAGTCGGAATGAGGAAATCGGATTCTGACACTCAGGAGAAAGCTCAGGGATATTTGCCTGTTCACTTCATAACTCACAACTCTTTCAGCTTCTGGAACAAATTTGTGTGAGTCACAGTCAAGGAGCCACCAGAGGACACCTGCTGACCATCGGCATTATGGGTAGTGTAGGAGGAGAGACTCACCTGACATGAAATAGTGACAGAAATGAAATAAAAGAACCCCGGAAACTATAAGGACCAGAACCAGGAGAAACACGAGAGGCTCCCAGTATGACCACTGCTCTGTAAAGACAGACAGCAAACAGTGTGACCTTTGACCTCTGAGTCCATGTAATCTAAGCTGTATTGAGCCAACAAAGTCCTTTGATTGTAAAGTAAAGACTACCTTCAGTGATGTAATCTTTATCAACAGCAGTCACTGAAGCTTCTTGCTGACCTTTGACCTGCAGCTGTACATCACTCCGACTCAGTTCATTTCCAAAGTCTCTGATGGAGCAGGTGTAGGTGGCGCTGTCAGACAGTTGGAGGTTGGTCAGGTTCAGGCTGAGGTCTCCAGTTTCCAGAGCGTCAGTCTTCATGGATGTTCGGCCGCTGTAACGCTGGTTTTGATCTTTCAGTTCGTCTCCTTGACGCTGACGCTGGTGGACGGTTGGAGGACTGAGGTCGGAGCGACTCCACACCACTGAGGGGTCAGTCAGATCGAAAGTGTCAAACTGACAGGGCAGGATGAACGAGTCCCCCTCATACAGCTCCACAGCTGAGGCATGCTGGGAAACTGTGAGGACATATAGAGAGACACCGTGTGTCATGTTTGAGGTAATAATCACGGTCAGACCTGCTTACAGACGTCAGAGCAGACAGAATGATGATTACAAATGTTGAATTCATTTTCATTCATGCAACATGAATTAAACTGGAGAGGAAGCCCATCATCCAAAGATGCTAAACACAAAGCACATCAAACAGGAAAGCACAGGAAAGAACAGAAATCTTCAAAGTAAAACAGGAAGTAAAGTGTAAAAGGGCCAGAGGGTGTCCCGCTACCCTCACTAATGAGGGTGATGGACGTGAAGTAAAGTAAAGCAGGTTCCCGTACCCTCAGGGGTAGATGTACACACGCTGCTGCTGATCAGCCTCGTCTGGGGGAGCTAATTAGGAGAGTGGCTGAGCGCCCATCGTTCCGTGACAAACCGTCGGTTCAATCAGTACACAAAGCCGTTGTGAAGTGTGTGGTCTGCAGCTTGTGTGAGGTTTCTTACGGCTGCATTTGTTGTTTCACGCAGGATCGCGGAAACAGGAGGACAAGCAAGCGCAAGAAAACAGAACATATTTTCAGTATAGTAATTATGAATTACTTTCAGTAATTAGCACAATGCAACACTTTTATGAACACTAAGGAATAATGTAAGTAATGTAAGTAATAGATTACTTTTTGGAGTAACAACCTCACCACTGACTGTGACCTGATACAGTCCGAAGCTGTTCATGCAACCACCGTGCCAGCTAACAGAGCATATCCACCAGTACCTATGAAGACTCGTGCTAACCACGTTCAGATTCATTTGCATCTAAATTCTGTTTTTTCTTTCACTGTTGCAAAGTGCAAACATGACAATTTTCATAAAGTTAAAAAGTAATCTATTACAGCTTTAAAACAGAAGACAGTTGATTTAGCCTGAAATCTTGTGTTGCCTCAAGCCAGTCGCTGCGTTGATGTTTGACAGACTTCAATGAAAGTTTCTGGTTGGAGCAACAAACAGGTTAAGCTCAGACTGAGCTCTAACCAGACTTCAGGCTGACTTATGGCTCCTTAAACCACTGTTCAGGTGCAAAAGTGTTTCTCCTGTTCCTAGTTTCCCTGTTTTTGTATGTTTTTAAATGTTTCACATCATCAAACTAATTCAGATATTAGAGAAAGATAACACAAGTAAACACAAAGTGCAGCTTCTAAGTGATTAAGGGGGGAAAACGGTGCCTCAGTTAAATCACTTTAAGTTCAGAATTAAAGCACTAAACAATCAGCTCATACAGGACAAAGAATCTGTTTAAACAGCTGAAGCACAAAGAGCCACGTAACAGCTGAACAAGGTTTACTTAACGCTGTTTCAGTATATGTAGGTCGGCAGGATGTGTGAGCCGAACTCACACAGAGAGGGTTACACACCAATATCAACCACAAACTTCTTCACACCTGTGAGCCACGTTTCCATCTTTTCTCCAAAACCTTCAAGACTTCCATGTTTCTAATGAGCGTAAGAACCTTGTAATAAACATGATCATGTCTGTGACGATGATCAACCTGCAGTGAGTGCAAACAACCTGCATTCAGACTTCAGAGAGTTTCTTACCGTCGATGAGGAGAAGCAGGAACAGCAGCAGCATCTTCATCCTCCTGTGAAGTCGACACCAGCACAGATGCCGTTAAACACTCGGACGCTCCTCTGCAGCTGCTGACGCACAAATCAAACGTTCCTCTCGGCCTCTGCTGTCTGTCTGTGGCAGGAAACCACCGAGAGCTGATATGAGATAAAGAAGCACCAGTTTCAGTGTTCGCTGCTCTTCATCAGTCTGAGCTGCTGTGGTGATTCTCCTAACTCTGATCTATGTTTTAATCGTTTCATCTTTATGCATATTTATATGCAGCACATGTTTTAGCCTTCAAGTTTCATTTTTTATTTTCATTTTAACTTCATCAGCTTATCTCAGCTCCCAGCAGCAAAGCTTTGGTCTGACACAGGTTCTCTTCATGCAGATGTAAAATTTTACTGTGTTTGTTAAACTTCAGTCTGAGTTTTTCCACCGCAGGAGGTACATCTATTTGTATTTTAGAAAAATAGAGTCCATGAGTGACTCAGACATCAGCACTGTGAAGCATCTTCAGCACACAGTCGAAACCAGTGACTCACACTGGAGGTGAACATAATCTTGCATCTATGTGGGTCAGCGATCCTCGAGAGGCGTGAAGACAAAATGTACAAACTGACCTCAGTTCCTGGATCAACGAGGTCTGTGTTCATCATGCAGTAAGTAGCAGCTCAGCCCGATGCTGCTGTTGCACTTTGAATTTATCCTGTGGACAGTTTTGGGATCGGCCTCGTTGTGAGTCCACATCAGTGCACTTTAAACTTTCACTCACCTCCACCACCACAACCAGGGCATTCTAGGAAATCGTGAAGGCACACAAACAGCAGCATGCTGTGGATTTCTTCCACAGAGCACACAGTGGACTGAAGGTCACAGTACCTGCAGAGCCCAGAGAGCTTTTAGAGAATAAAGGTCACAAATTGTGTGTTTAGCCTGAAAGACAGGACTGAACTCTGAGGCACCTCACAGTCCTGGACACGCTGTCTTCTTTTTCTTCTGTTATATAAAATATTGACGTGTGTGTAAAACCACAGCAGTTAACGGGACCCATCGATGCACCGACGCTACATTCATGCTGAACCTTGATGTGTGTTAGAAACCAGAGAGAAATCCTGGATATGATGAACCTGCTCCATAGTTCAGGCTCTGGATCGGCTACAGTTTTATTTACTTATTTGTTTTTATTTATTTATTATCAGCTGAGTGATGAGGTGTCATGTGACCACCGTGTGCTGTGTTGACAGCACAGCCTACAGGAGAACCAGTTAAACCTTTATTTATGAAATCATTATTATCATAATGGCGCAGATTATAATTACAGATGTCAATAATAATAATAATAATAATAATAATAATAATAATAATAATAATATAATAATAATAATGTCTACAGCCATCCTATCGTTACCTGTAACACTGTGTATAACGTCTCTGCCTGTTACACAGATGGTTTTCTTCAGGAGACAGTTTTAAATATGAGTTGTTGTTTTTTTAATCTCAGATCATAACTCAGCTGGTCGCAGCTGTCACTGACATGCACACTGAGCGCAACATTTTAATGCAGCTCTGCTGGAGATGTGAGAGCATGTGCATGTTGTCTGCTGGTAGCTGCTGTCACGCAGGTGGAGTCACCGCGAGCTGCCGTGAGTGGACACAGACTGCACATATAGGAGAAGATGGAAGCTGGAGCAGGAGAAACAGCCCAGCAGAGTGCAGATGGAGCAGCATCACTTGGATCCTCCGAGCTGGAGTCAGAGCTCAGACACAGACATGTGCAAAGCCTGGAGCAGCCAGCTCCAGCAGGTGTCCGGTATAAATTCATGTAATAAAGCCACAGCAGCGCTCTGACTTTATTTTTAGATTCTTTGATTCATGATGTGGAAAACCTGAGATTAATCTTGGATTTATTTTCTTCACACACATCCTGGAACAATCTGGAGCTGTGTTCATGGGCTTTGACAGGATCCTGTCTGTAATGATAATAAGCGGCTGTGGGGCTGTGGCACACACGTTTCCATGGCAACAAACACAGCAAAACGTCAAAGCTTCCCCGTTATCGCCTCACAGCGTGTTCGTGTTCACACGTTGTGTTTTTAATGTGCACCTTCCACGGACTCGCTAGATCTCAGGTTTATCTGTAAATTTATATTACACATAAATACACATATTTTTGTGGCCTAAAGGTTTTTTTATTTTCCTCAATTTTAATTATTTTAGCGGTAAAATCATAATTTTCCGACCTAAAAAATAATAATAGAGTTATAATGTGGTTTATGAGTGCATAGGAGGTGACATTTTTATTTTCTTTAGAATATGTTGCATAAAGAAAAATAGCTCTGTGACTTCATAAGAAATCTCTCTGGTCAACAACTTCCAGACTGAGTATTTGGTGGATATGCTCTGAGTATTCAGGATACAGGCGGACAAAATGGTGATGGCTAACCAACCTGATATAGTGTCGGACAAACAGAGGATGACGGCCGTAGTGATAGATGTACCGAATGACAGCAACAGCAGGAAGAAGGAACATGAGAAGCTGGAGAAGTACCAAGGGCTCAGAGAAGAGCT